CTGTGTCCAGCGCCTCTGGTGGCACCATTTCTTCCAACAGCGCTGTGCAGTACTTGTTAGCAACAATGTATCTTTCAATTAATGCGTTCACCTTGCTTTCTTGAGACATAATGCCACTGGCGTACTTAATAGAAATGGGCAGAATGGAGGCCGGCGCGCGGGGTGGCTACGCCTGTCATCCGGCACCTGGGAGCCAGGCGGAGAGGATCGCTCGAAATTCAGGGATGGTCGAAAACCGAGCCTGACAAGAGCAAGACCCTGTCTCTACTATAAATAGAAAGAAATTAATTGGCGCAACTAAGATATATAGAAAAAATTAGCTGGGCGTGGTGGTGCGATGCCTGTAATCCCAGCTACTCGGGAGGCTGAGGCAGGGGATGATTGAGCCAGAGTTGAGGTTGCTGTGAGCGAGGCTGACGCCACGGCACCCTAGCCTGGGCAACAGAGTGAGACTCTGCCTCAAAAAAAAAAAAAAAAATAGCAGAATGGAAACATAACTTTTCTATGCACTGGAAAAACAAACAAAAAACAAAAATTTTTTGCACAGGTGGCTTTTCAGATGATGATCTTGCTCACGGAACCTCAGGGGGAGACGGCACAGGTACCCCGACTTCTCTTTCTGTTCAGCCGCTGTTTCGTGATGTCCACCTGCTCTGCACAAGCACAGCGGGGTCTGTGAAGTGACAGAGAGATGATGTCTGTGAATCTGCGTGGGGGTTGTGTGGTGTGCTGGTGTGAAGAGTGAGGCTTCGCCCCGTAGAGACTCGGTCTCCGGGAGCCGAGGTCGGGGCCCGGGCGTCGGCTCTCCTTCCCTGTGGGGTGAGGGTGCAGGAGAGGGAACTTCTCAGCCGTCTCCCCACCCACCCACTGCCCTGTGTTCTCCGGTGTACCCTGAGGTTTGTTTTATCTTATGTAATGCATGCAGATATCAAAGCCTTGAGTATTAAGTGGGGGGACTTGACCCAATGAGCCCAGCCGGCAGCGTCACAATTGAAAGGTGGACTTCCTATCCTGTCTTTATATTTTATGTTATAAAATTATAATATAGGCAGCACCCCAGCTCTATAGCTGTGTAACATGCACCCCATATAGTGTACCAGGCAGCACCCCAGCTCTATAGCTGTGCAACATGCACCCCAGATAGTGTACCAGGCAGCACCCCAGCTCTATAGCTGTGGTACACTATCTGCAGTGCATGTTTACACAGCTATAGAGCTGGGGTGCTGCCTGGTACCACCTATCTGGGTGCATGTAACACAGCCTATAGACTGGGGTGCTGCCTGGCTACACTATCTGGGGTGCATGTTAACAGCTATAGAGCTGGGGTACTGCCGCTAACCTATCTGGGGTGCATGTTACCACAGCTATAGAGCTGGGGGTGCTGCCTGTTACACTATATGGGGTGCATGTCACACCAGCTATAGAGCTGGGGTGCTGCCTGGTACACTATCTGGGGTGCATGTTACACAGCTATAGAGCTGGGGTGCGCTCCTGCTACAACCTATTCTGGGTGCTGTTAACACAGCTATAGACAGCTGGGGGTGCTGCCCGTTACACTATCTGGGGGGTCAGTTAAGACAGCTATAGAGCTGCGGTGCTGCCGGCTACACTATCTGCGGTGCATCGTTCACAGCATAGAGCTGGGTGCTGCTGGTACCCTATCTGGGGTGCGATCGTTAGCACAGCTACTAGAGCTGGGTACTGCCGCTTACGCACGTATTCTGGGTGCATGTTACACCAGCTATTAGGCTGGGGTGCTGCCTGGTACACTATCTGGGGTGCATGTTACACCAGCTGATAGAGCACTGGTGGCCTGCCTGGTACACTATCTGGGTGCATGTTACACAGCTATCAGAGCTGGGGTGCTGCTGCTACACTCATCCTGGCGGGTGCCATGTTACACACAGCTATAGAGCTGGGGTGGCCTGCCTGCTACAACTATCCTGGGGCATGTTACACAGCTACATAGAGGCTGGGTGCTGCCTGCTACACTAATCTGGGCGCTGCCATGTTACACAGGCTATAGAGCGCTGGGGGCTCGCCTGGTACAGCTATCTGGGGGTCGCATGTTACACAGGCTATACGAGCTTGGGGTGCTGCCCTGGTACACCTATCTGGCGGTGCATGTTACCACAGCTATACAGACGGCTGGGTGCTGCCGGTACCAATGGCGGAGCGCATGTTACACAGCTATACCAGCTCGGTGCTGCCTGGTCAACACTATCTGGGTGCATGTTACACAGCTATTAGACCTGGGGTATGGCCTGCCTTAACACTATCTGGGGAGTGCGATGTTACACAGCCTATACAGGAAGCTGGGGTGCTGCCTGCCAACACTATAACTGCGGGGGTGCAGGTTACACAGCTATAGAGCTGGCGTGATGCCTGGTTTACACTATCTGGGGTGCATGTCACAGCTATAGACTGGGTGCTGCCTGGTAACACATCGGGGTGCATGTACACAGCTATAGAGCTGGGGTGCTGCCTGGTAACACTATCTGGTTCATGTTACACAGCTATAGAGCTGGGTGCTGCCTGGTACACTATCTGGGGTGCATGTTACACAGCTATAGAGCTGGGTGCTGCCTGTACACTATCTGGGGTGCATGTTACACAGCTATAGAGCTGGGGTGCTGCCCTGCTACACTATCTGGGTGTTGCACTGTTACACAGCTATAACTGGGGTATGCCTGCTACACTATCTGGGGTGCATGTTACACACGCTAATAGAGCGGGGTGCTGCCCTGTTACCACTATACTGGGGTGCATGTCAACACCACTATAGACCTGGGGGGGGTCTGCCTGAGTACAGCCTATCTGGGGTGCATGTTAACACAGCTATAGACGCTGGGGTGCTGCCTGCTACACTATCTGGGGGTGCATGTTACCACCAGACTATAGAGTCTGGGGTGCTGCCGTTACACTATCTGGGGTGCAGGTTACCGACAGCTATAGAGCTGGGGTCGCCTGCCTGGTACACTATCTCGGGGTGCATGGTTTGCACAGCTATAACTGGTGCTGCCTGGTACACTATCAATGGGGCTGCAGTGTCTACACAGCTAAACAGCCTGTGGTGCTGGCCCTGCTACACTAATACTGGGGTGCATTCTTACACAGCTTATAGAGCTGGGGCTGGAGCTGCCCGTTACATATCTGGGTGCAGGTTACA